AAAATTTTGAAACCAAGTCACTGGTAGTCCGGTGGGCGGTGGCTGATGGCTGGGACTGAGGTCTGGGAGGACATAGGAAGAAAATAAGTAAATAGCCACAAGTTCGGGGATGGGCCGGACGGCAAATTTTGCACTTGTTGGGTTGCCTGTTAGCTGTTTGTGTAATTTTGTTTGGGGAAATAGGCAATAGCCAAAGCCCAGATAGGAATAACCAGTTGAGTTAACCACTAAGGCAGAGGCAAGTCACCGGTGCCTAGGAGAAAATAGGAAGAAAATAAGCGCAGTATGCATCGACAGTCCGCAAGTGGCTTGTAACTTGTTGGCTTGTTGACATGTTGTTGCCTGTTTGGGGGAATAGAAAGAATAAGTGAATCAGCAATGCTAATTTACTCGGGCACTAAATCAGTAATGCTAAAAAAATTGTTGCTTGTTTGATGATAGGCGTTATGTGTTATTTTCTCTCTTTTTACTAACTGATCTATTTCTCCAAACAGAAGAAAACTGATGTTGAGTGAGGAGATGGTGAATGACGTGGGGATGGAGGAATCTGATCCTGTGGTCTCTGAGTCTGGATCAGAATCAGAATCAGAAGAAGCTGAAGACGTGAAGTTAACTGAACCTTCAAAGAATGCTGTGAACAATCGTGAAGGTTTGCTTGATAAGCTTGGAGATATCAACTGGCCTGCCAACGTCGAATGGATACACAAGCTTTCACTTGATATTGATCAGGCACAAGAAGTGGATGTCAATGATGACCTGACACGGGAGCTTGCTTTTTATACACAGGCACTAGAGGGTGCGAGGCAGGCCTTGGTAACATTTCAGTCGATGGGACTTCCTTTTCTGAGGCCTTCTGACTATTATGCTGAAATGGTTAAATCTGATGCTCACATGGAGAAAGTTAAGGGCAGACTCTTAGCAGAAAAGAAAAAGGTTGAGGAGGCAGAGGAGAGAAAGAAGGCAAGGGAGAACAAGAAGTTAGCTAAAGAGATACAAGCTCAGAAACTAAAAGAGAGGGCCAAGCAGAAGAAAGACGATATTGAATCTGTTAAGAAGTGGAGGAAGCAGCGGCAACAGAGTGGGTTTGCCGGCGGTAATAAAGGCGATGACCTTGATTTGGCTTTCGAAGAAGGAAAACCATTTGATCGAATGAATAGGAAGAGGCCGTGGGTGGCTCCTGGAGATCGTTCTGGTGGAAAGGCAAAACAGGGTGGTGGAAAGGGGAAAAAAGGTTCAGATAAAAATATGAAGAACAGGGAACATAGGGATTCAAGGTTCGGATTTGGAGGGAGGAAAGGGTTAAAGAAGCAGAACACAGCTGAGACCACAAATGATCTGCCGAGAAGCTTTAATAAAAGCAAATTTTCTGGTAATAAGAGACTGAAAAAGTGAGACATTTAGATGTGGTTTTAATTCAACTCCCTGAAGCACAAGTCTATTTTAGATTATAAGTGAATGAGTAAATGAAAAAGCAGAGTTCGTGGTGTTCACTTTGAAGGGCTCATTGATTTATACAGGCTTTTGAACTATTATATTTATAGTGTGTATACGTTTTTGACCCAGAAACATGGCACATGCATTTGCTTATTCAATTTCGACTTATTATTGTAATGGACTTGTTTCCCAAACAACCATTTCTTAATCCTTTGATTTCCCTGCATTACTGTTGTTGCAATTGATATTGTTTCTTTTTGTGACCATTTGCCAATTTTCAATTTTATTCTTATGCTGCTGATTATGACCCTTGTGACTTTTTTTTTATTCCTGCGAACAAGTCGGAACTATTATGACATAGTCATATGTGTTTTTGTAGCCTTGGATTAAATTCATGCCTATCCTATGGAGGCAATGTTAGTTTTTTATGTTTGTCTCTTTAATCTATTACTGAATGTTAAAGTGGAAATTAATATTTAAATAAATTTTTTTGTTTTTTTTTTTTTTAACAATATCTACAAGCATTGCTTTCAGACCACACCTCTACTCAAATTGTGCTAAAAAAAGCTTCATCCACACCCTTTTTTAGAACGGCACAAGCATTTAAAAGTTGAATCTGTTCCCAATAACAAGCTGTGCTAATTCTTGCTTAAGTTGCTTATGTTCTTGTTAATCTTCTATACTTGACTTTTTGTTTTCCCGAAAAATATTGAATGTCGACAATTGAATTAATCAGCTTGGCTGCTTCCGATTCTCTTGTAGTTTTCTATTTCTGCAATATTCTAATGGCATTCTACTTGTTGGAAGCTCAAAGTTGAGTTCAAAGTTTAATGGGGAGGAACTCGACCTTTTCCAGCATTTACAAAGGTGTCACAAGAACTGAAAATGGTTCTTGTTCTAGATAGAACCAGAAATTGCAGAAACTGTTGGCAAATCTTTTTATATAACAATGGCAGACGTCGGATGATGAAGAAGGAAGATGGGAAGATGAAGAAGACTATGATTTTGATGATGATTAGCTAACAAGAAGTGTAGAAGAGTTTATTGAGAAAATTAATGGAGGTTGGAGGTAAGAAAAGTTGAAAACACATTCTTCAGGCTAATGATGATAAATGAACGTTATTTTTTTATTCGGTTTGGATTGGCCTAATATGGATTAGAATAAAGTGGCAGACCAGGGTGGGGGCATGGACGCAAAAGAGTATAAATTTTTGCACAGGTCTTTAACATGCTTTGATCTTTGGATTTCTTTGAAAAAAGAGCCAGTTTGATCCTCATTTGATGCATTTTCAAGGCCATCTATGCATGTGTGTTGATAAGTACCCCTAACAATAGCAAATCTTACAGATTATTAAACTTAGAAACCAATGTGATTATCGAATCAAATGATGTGGAGTTCTTTGAGAATTCATGATCTTCGGATAACGAATTAAGGGAAAATCATAATGATATCCCTAGCTCAAGTGGAACATGAGATGAAACTTCTTCTAAAGATGTTAATGAATCTAGTGAACCACGAAGNAATAGCAAATCTTACAGGTTATTGAACTTAGAAACCAATGTGATTATCGAATCAAATGATGTGGAGTTCTTTGAGAATTCATTATCTTCGGATGATGAATTGAGGGAAATTCATAAAAATATCCCTAGCTCAAGTCAAACACGAGATGAAACATCTTCTAAAGATGTTAATGAATCTAGTGAACCACAAAGAAGCAAAAGAACTCGGATTGAGAAGTCCTTGGGATCGGATGAAATAGACTCTCAACTTATATCCTTTTACTTGGTAGAGAGAAATGATGTGAATGTTGTAAGAACAATTCCTTTTGTTCTACAAGTGAAAACCGACCCCAAAACTTATAAAGAAGATATGGCTTCCGGTGATAACATCTTCTGGAAAGATGACATTAAGGACGAAACGGATTCGATAATGTCAAATAATACTTGAGAGCTTATCGATTTGCCACCCGGGTCCAAACCTATAGGATGTAAATGGGTGTTTAGGATAAAGTATAACACTGATTGTTCTTTTAATACCTTTAAGGCTAGAGTAGTAGTCAAAGGTTAT